CTCTCTTGCTCCTCGCTCTCTCTCTCTCTCTTGCTCGAATTTAATCATGCGACGAGGGGGAAGGGAGTGGGGATAAAGTTTGTGTAATCTTATAATCGACGACAATCGCGAATGTGAATGTCTGTCGTGCACGAAGAGAATGGGAAGCGTGGACAGCGGCTGATCGATTTATAGAACGAACGGGTTGCAGGAGGAGAGAGAGAGAGAGAGAGAGAAAGACATTGTCGGTTGAAACGGATCGAAACGGACTCGTGGTGGATCTAATCCCGCTAATAGACCAATTTCTATACGATTCGAATCCACCCTCGCTTGACACGATTCATCCACGGCGGTGGAAAAAACGGGCTCCGGCTTTTTGAACCGCCTCCAGCTTTCTGTCAGAGATTTCTTACAAAAAAGGAAAAAAAAAAAAAAACTACTACCGCGCTGCCATTATCCGCTGCATCGTCCGACCTTTATATATTCCACGTATATATACATATATATAATCGGCTCGTCCAAGTAGTAGATACTGCGAATAGAAAACCTCTCTCTTTCTCTCTCTTTACATGTCTCTTCTTCTAAAAAGAAACTTGAGAATATATATAATCGAGAGAGTAAGAAAGAGAGATATCGAATATGATATTACATTTATTATTACGATATTACGCGTAGAGAAAAAGAATCGTCGAGCGTTGAAAAAAAAAAAAAAAAAAAATGGAAGGAAAAACATTGAGGAGAATCCGCGTGTGCTTTTTTTAGATACGTGGGCGGTTCGAGGCGAGAGTTGTCAGGGGTGAAGGAACTGGTGACCTCGAGGAGGGTGCAGAAGAGACCCTCGGCGAACGTCGTAAGGTCGGATGGAGGTTGCATCGGGAACAGTCCAGGAAGCGGCGGTGTGATCGCGGCCGGTTTGCTGGGCGGTTGCAGCGGCGGCAACGACGCCTTAGCCGAGTTAACCATCGAGGACCTGGCATCTATTCCCGCCGGAAATCACACCTCCGCCAATCACACAGGCCATTCCTCTCATCACAAGGTCAGCGAACTTTGCTAAATCGATATTCATCTCCTTTAAATATAACCAGCGCGAAATATACGAGGGGATAATGATGGAAACTTTGTTGACTTTTGAGATTTCGTTTTATATATATATAATTTTTCATTCGAACGTATTTGATATTTATTATTCGAATTTTTCGAAAGATAGTTTTAATGAAACGTTTCAACGTTCCCTCAACTGTTCGAACGGTGGATGATTCTATTTCGGTGAGATGATGCTAGAGAGCACTTAAATTCTCCGGGTAACAGCTTACGCGAGGTTGCTTTTCTCCCTTTGTTCGTACGCCCCATCATTTCCGATCGAAGTAATCCGCCAATCGCGTGTTTCGTTAAACGGGCAACGATATAAACAGGACCCACCGATACGTGTCAATTAAGGATTTATCAGTCGGTTGACATCGAGTTGATCGAGCTAGAAACATCGGGTGGCGATTAAGCTTAAATTACGAATTACGACATTCGAAACAAGTTGAGAATCGTGTTCGTTTCCATTCCGTGTATTTCGATCGACTGGAATCGATTATACGTCGAATTATACGCAAAATTTTCATAATGGCTTTGAGTTACGACGAGATCGAGTCATTCATTCGGTGCATTTTATAAATCATCGTAACAATTTTATCGTGAACCGAATAACGGATGATGCAACGACTACTCGACGTGGCTGTAATAATTATTCGAGACGCATTACGTTTCGTTGCCTAATTATTCAATGCGCGGTCTCGTCAAAACACGCATAAGCCCGGATACGAGTCGAAGCGCAAACAATGAAATTACAAAGCGTTTCGCCTTTCCATACGTGTGTGCGTCAGCTGTTGCATCGTGCAGCTGTCGTATACCACTACTAGGCGGTTCATTTTAAATGTTCCACGCACGATCCATCGGAAATCGACTTATCGCGAAAATTGAATTAAAAGGTGGGCCGGCGGCAGCTTTAACGATTTAAATCGAATCAAAGTCGAAACTCGTTACCAATGCTTGTTACAAACTTGTTACAAAACGATACTTTATCATTTCCACCTTAATATTTATTTATATCGCGCTCGTTTCTTCCACAATGAAATTTTAGTATCGTAGACGACGATAATATAAAACTATAAAAAAAAGAATTCATAAATCAAAGGTAGAGATATTTATCGTATCGTCGCGAGATAAACTGCGTTACGAATAAAGAACGCAAGATTTTATCGTATTCACGTATAACAAAAATTTCTCGCACGTTGGATACTTCTACTCGAAGGTTAGACGCGTAACGCGCGCCTCGACCGAGCGACTCAACAATATCTTTTCGAGGAGTAATTTTCTATAGGTGATCCGTATCCTTTCAAATTTTCGGCCTATTCTTCTAATTTTTTTTCTTTTTTTCTCTATTAGCTGATCAATGGGTTTTTCCTTTCCTTCTTTCCAATTCCAATTCGATTCGTTCGACGCGTTTATTTTCTTCTCTTTTATTATTCCTCCTCTTAACGTGCATCGTGGTTCGCTGTAACACCGTGCATGTCGCGGCACTCGCATCTGACCCCCTTTTTCCCTAATAGCCCCATTCACAGTGGCTTCCCTTTTTCTCCGCGCGCAGCGCCGTATGTCGTTGGAAGTTTAGAACGTCTCGCGTACGCGCGTGCAACCATCCAACAAATAAAGAAGCTCGCTGGACCGATAACTTTTCTCGTATATCGAATATGAAACAAAGGACAAAAAGTTCTTAAAACTGTTCTCATCCATTCATATTCCTTTTTAATATATTTTTTCCAACGTTTGTCATTTTCCTTCTTTTCTTTCACAAGTTCGAAACGTTTGACATAAAAATGTTACATTATCGATTATATTTTTGAATTTATATCGTCCGTTCTCTCTTAAGATGAAGGATTTATCGAATGTTTATAGTACGAAAAAGGTGACACCCGATACACGATGCTCGCGTGAAACGAAAAGAAACGGTTTTGCACGGATTGGAAGAGAAAGAGAAGGATTAGTGCACGCGTCGTTATGAGTTATGCAGCCGGGTCACGGCAGGTCGTCGAATGGAATCGATATCTGCTCGGTAAAATAATAACTGTTCTCTTTCTCTCGTCTATCCTTCCTTCGCCCTTTCTCTTCTCTCTCTCTCTTTTTATCGTTCGTAGGCAACAGTCACCGCGAACAAAAACTCTCTCGCTTCGAGTCATTTTCACCTTCTGCTTCTATTTATCACCGATAGATGGTTGACCGATCGTCCATCCATCTTCGACCATGGCGCGATTCGACTAATTAGGAGAGCTATTTTTGCTTCTTTTCCACGCATTGATGTTCTTTAACGTAGATTGATGCGTCGCTCGGAACCGAACAAAATTTCTATTTTGCATTTCCCTTTGTTTATCTATCCTACCTTTAGACTTAAAATTTAAATTTTAAATTTCTCGTTCGTCTCTTTTGATACAAATTCGCGACAAGATCCTCTTTCTCTTTATCTCGCGTTATTCCCACGCGTTCAATCGAATACCGTATTAATAAAGGGCATTTCTCTTTTTTCGTGATTACTCGAATCTTGCTGCACGAATACCTTCGTTCGGTCTGTATATATTTGATTTATCTTGTTCGAGGTATTTGTACGGGAACACAATGGTTAAGGATAAATATAAAAACTGCTCGTTATCTTAACTACTTTTTGCTTAACGAGCGCTAATTTTCATCGAAATTCGGAAAATTCTGGTTTCAGACGCAAACAGATTCCAGCCGATAATTCATTGTCGGTTTTCATGCATTCGTCGGGCATTAATCATTGATTCGTCATCGATAAAAACGTTTATTTACGTACGCTTGTAATGCGTATATAATAGACTGGAAATCGAGCGTGAAAAAAAAAGACAAATCGAATTACAACATAAATGAAAAATAATAGCAACAGACACGGGAAAAAAAGAAAATGAGCAGCAATGATTTTTTAATTTTTGATCGTTCGATCGTAACGGAGAGAATCGAGTTAAAGAAGAGTTGTTACGATACGATAATATAATATATCCTCTCCCTCCGAAAAGTTAGCTTTCCCCTACAGGCGATAATCCTCGCCAAGGATAATCCTCGACTTTCCTTTCCTCGAGTCGAAAATCTCTGAAACGTAATCAGTTTCCAACGTTCCTTTTTCGACCTCCCTCTCGCTTTTATCTTCTCCGGATAAAACGAGAAGGGGGAGGGGAAAGGTGATGGGGTGTGGCTTGCATGCCATCTTATCACTTCCCGAAACAATCTTCCTCTTATTCCTCTCCTTTCGAACGTAAATATCGCTTTTTTGTTCCAATTTTTTCTTTCTCTCTTTTCTTTTTCACTTGTAGAAATTAATATATAAACCAATCCCCTCTGATAATCTCGAAAACCTTTTGCATTCGAGAGGTGACAATCCTTTATTTACGCTTAGATCTCTCTACTTTTTTAACACCTAAGTGAGACGTGATCTTAAAATCATCTTGAGTTGCTACTAGAGGAAGAGTTGAGGGATAGATTTTCAAACAATAACAACAAATAATAAGAGAAAAGGGTGAATCAGAGGGGGATCGAAACAGATTCGTTGATTCGATATTTTTTGGGGCAGCCTGTAGAACCGGTGGGAGAGTAGTATTCGGTAGCCGGGCGTTAGTAAGCGGTATGTATCGTATGTGGCGTAAAGTGGGGAGGAGGGTCGGTGAGCAATGGATCGTCGACCCTCGCGCTCGCCAGTTAACGTTCGTCCGGTAACTCGTGAAAACGTTCCTTCGCATCGAAGAAAAGTGTAAAATGTCGTGTGACGATGCCGGTTTTCGATCTCCTCCTGTCCGTGTCCAGCCCAGTTCTCCAAATAAACTGATTCTTCGACGTTCCACATATCCACAGTTATAAGTGAATTTTTTGTGTTTGCGGTTTCTTATCTCTCGGCGAAATGATCCTCGCGGTACGAAAAGGGGGGAGAAGTATACTTTTTTCAACGAAAAACGGTCTCTCGTGTTTCTTTAAGATATCCATTATTACGCGTTAACCAATCGAACGTCTTCTCGCTGTTTTTCTTCTTCTTTTTCTTCTTCTTCTTTCGAAAAATTATTACCAACCGTGGCCCATTTCGTCGAGTTTTAAAACGCGAAATTATATATAAATTGTACGCGTAAAATTTCGAAACGATAGCAGTGTATATGTATTTCGAACGATGTATCGAGGAGTATTCGAAACACGTATCGAGCGCTAGGAGTGTCTGAAACAAACAGGCAACCCCTATAGGTTAAATCGCGCTAGTCGTCGAGGGTGGTAACAAGAGTGGTTCTGCTCGAGGGCTATCCCTTAATTATCCCGTGCAATGACGCATTCGATGTTACACATACACAGGTATCTCATTCTTATCGATCCTTTGAAAATTCGCGTGGACACGTGTACGGGACGGATAGTAGTACGTAGTTCGGAACCGTCGTCTTTTTTTCCAATCGATGGAACTATCGAATTATATCGTTGATCGCGCGATTAATTCGCGATAATCGTTCCGTTTGATTATCGTTGCGGATAATGATTCAAATATAAATAGACGTAGCGAAAAGTGAAAATATCGCGAATTATCCGTGTCGATAAATCGACAGTGGGCGAGGAATTTATAAATAAATGGTAAGTTTATTTGTATCGAAAGAGAAATTAGAAAAATTTATCGGAAAAGAAAAATGTTATAAATAAATCACTCATTGATTTATTTGTTCGAATAATTTAAAAAAAGGAAAAGGATTTTTGAAAACTGAGGGGGAGAAAGAATTGGAAAAATTTATCGAAAAAGAAAAATGTTATAAATAAATCAGTCACAGATCGCGTTCGAATAATTTAAAAAAAGGAAGAGGATTTCTGAAAACTGAGGGGGAGAAAAAATTGGAAAAATTTATCGAAAAAAATGTTCTCGTTATAAACATTTCTATAATTTTCGAATCGCATCTCTCGATAATATTTAAAAAAAGGACACGATGGGGATTTCTGAAAACTGAGGAGGAGAAAGAATTGGAAAAATTTAAACAACAAAATTTAAACATTCAAAAACAATGTTTTCGTTTTATTCGAATCGCATCCGAACTTTCAGTACAATAACATTTAAAAAAAATACACGATGGAAATTTCTGAAAACCGAGGGATAGAAAAAATTGGAAAAATTTATCGAAAAAGAAAAATATTCTCGTTATAAACATTTCTATAATTTTCCTTTTATTCGAATCGCATTCGAATTCTCGATTTTAACCTTCACCGCGTTAAAAAAAGGAGGATTTATTGAAATTTATTTATGAAAATAAACGGAAACTGAGGGGGGAGGGAAGGAAAAAGTCCAACGAAAAAAGAAAAACACTCGTTTAACTCGTCTCGTACTATTAATGATAAAAACCTTCGTTCGAATTTTTGATATAAAGAGCTGGCCGAAATATTTATCCTTCTTATCGTTTTTCCTTTCTACTGTGATGCAAGCTCGAAAAATTGGCTTCGACTCGCGCCTCGATTTCGAGAGAAAAAGCCGCGATTCGACCCACGGGGGATCTTTTGTCATGCCCTTCTCGGACTGCGTTTACGATCTGGGTAATAAAAAAAACCTGAGGTAGCGTTTCCACCCCCTTCCCTCTCCGTGAGTCACTTAGTATACAATGATGTAACGTTGCGTGAACAGAGAGAGAGAGAGAGAGAAGGGAGTGGATTGGAAAGAACTAGAAAAGAGATCGATGAATCTCTTTATTACCTTCGTTGATTCGTTGGATGATTCCTGAATTCGTTCAAAGATAGTATCGAAACTCGACAATTGGTCTAATTGATCGTAAAATTTGGTTTCGCAGAAAAAAGATTTTCCATCCAAGATTCAATTTTAAAACGAAATAGGAAAGCTTTTTCTATTTTCGATTAGAAAATTATAGAGAATTATAGAGAAATATTCGAGTTATAAATTGATCGGAATCGAGTGAAATGAAAGTAGTGAGAGAGGTGTTTACACCCCTTCGAGGAGTCGCCGTCACTGAGGCGCCCCGTTTCTGAATCATGGTGACGACGAGGGTTCGTTCCTTCGAGCAAACTACTCGCGAGAATCGATAATAGCGAAATCAACTTTACCGAAAGTCCTTGACCCAGGTCGCGAGGGTTCAATTGCATCGATGTCTCGTTAAAGAAAACTTGCTCGTTAATACTTCACTACTAATTCACTGCCGCGTCATCCGCTTAGTCGACTACTTACCGACGATCTTCATAGGTATTTGGAAAGATATATCGTACAGGTATAATAGAACTATAGAATTGTTATAAAAGTGATACAAAAAATATAAAAGTGTTAAAAAAATTATTTATTATATAATTATTATTATTTATTATATTATTTAATTATAGAACGTAAAATTAATATGATATTTGATATCAAGGAAGAACATAACCTATAAATGATATTATTGCTGTTTGATATTAATGAAATTAGAATTCAAATATTGCGTAGGTATTTAGAAAGATATATTGCACAGGATGTAATAAAATTATAGAATTGTTATAAAAGTAATACAAAAATGGTAAAACTAACGTAATATTTGACCTCGAGGAAGAACATAACCTATAAATGGTATTGTTGCTGCTTGATATTAATTAAAATTAGAATTCAAATTCCTCAAACTCTATTTAATAATTAATTTCACCGTAACGAACAATTTCCATCTTTCAGGGGAAAGACAGATATCTCCTTCTCCTTCACCTTCTCATCGATCATATCGAGGATAATTATTGGATTGTTCGAAAAATAATTTCGTTTTTTCGAGGTTCGAAACGGTGAAATTCGACAAATTCAATCTCGTAACAATTTCTCGAATCATTGTTCGCCGGTTTGTTTCGATCGCTGTCTTTATTTTGTCTCCAACGTTTCGCATTTTTAACGTCAAAATTGTCGAAAAAAAATTTTGAAAACCACTTTTTCGACACTGGGTTGTACTACGTTAATACGCCTTCTCCGTAGACTATTTAATGGTTTATGCATTACATAAATAGAATTCAAGATTTACGAATATATCATGAAATATTTTATATTTATCCTTCGAGAAAGATTAACATTCTATACAAAGCTGAAATTGGACAATTTGGACAAAAAGTTAACTAATAACTCTTCCATTTTTCTTTTCGACATTGGAACGAATTAGGGTAGAAATTTTAACAATTATATCACTCGATAAACATTTAAATTATTCGTGTAGAGTGACAAGTTGAGGAACGTAACGATGGAAATAAATGACGCGAGAGATTATTCTCGTATTACTGAAATATCGATGGAAAAAGCTAGGCCTGAAGAAGATCTCGTTGGAAACACAGGCGGCAGTCAACGCGTTAAAATGATTGAAAAATTTCCAATAAACGTGTATTCCGATGATTGAGTTGTAGTTGGCTTCGAGGCTAATTGGAGAAGAAAAAGAAAAAAAAAAATTTTGTTTTTTTTAAACAGAGGGTGCCGGGTGGTGGAGGAGTGATTGTGGGGGGTGGCGGTAATTCGGCCACCCCCCAAGGTGCACAGCAGGGCAGCAACCTGGTGTATCGCGTGGTGAGCTCGAGGCATCCTGGAAGCGGGCATCATCCGCACGTGAAAAAGTCGGATAGCTCCCAGCAAACCGACAACTCGGCGTTCAAGCATCAGCAGCAACCGGGTTTGAATAGCAGCTCGGCGACGAACAGCAGCTCGAACAGCCAGCAATGGAAAAAATATATCGAGGCTGGAGCCGCGAGGGATCGGGAGAGAGACAAGGAGGGCGCTCCTCCGAGTCCTAGTCCCTCCAGGCGATCTCAGGTAAACATTTTATGTATAACGATTTTCTACATCCCCTTTCGGTGGAAATTTAATGAGTGATAAACTTAGTTCGATTCATCATATCGTTCGTAACAATTGTACTTTCGAACGAATAAATTCGAGCATTTTAATAAATCAATTATTTGAAGTAATTTTATTTTTAACTACTAATTAATTGTTTTTTTATTGATTACGGATAATTATCTTTGTAAGAAAAAGTTTCATGAAAATTAGTAAGAAATGTCATAACTTGTTAAAAAGGGATTTGCTTCGAATATCGTGAAATGATAATTCGTCGTATTAACCTTTAGAACTCCTATGTCGAGCTAGATTTGACATTATACAACGTAGTTTCTAAAATAATTTAAAATGTTCTTTTTTTTTTTCTTTCAAATACTTTGTAATACTTTACACAATATTTTATTGAGAATCTCTTTTTAAATTTTTTTTGTATAAATTAAGGATAGATAAAAAAAAAAAATTAAAGAGTGCAAAGGGTTAAATCTGTTCAACAGTGATAGGTAGAAAATTTAATAAGTCGAATAAACTTACTTCATTCATTAATTCATTCAAATTGTTCATAATAATTGTACTTTCGAACGAATAAATTCGAGCATTTTAACAAGTCAATTATTTGAAGTAACTTTATTTTTAACTACTAATTAGTTGCTTTTTCACTGGTTACGGATAATTATCTTTGTCGAGTAGGAAAAAGTTTCATGAAAATTAATAAGCGATGTTCGTCATAGTCCATTAAAAAGGGATTTGCCTCGAATATCATCAAATGATAATTCGTTGTATTAAGTCTGTCTGAGGAAAATTCAATAATCGAAATTACTTCGATAATTTATCGTTCAAAACGTAATAATAATCGCGAATAATTATACTTTAACGAATAAATATTATTCGAGCATTTTAAGTAAATTACTCGAAATTTTATTCTTTAACTTTATTCTTTAACTAGTTACTTTTTCAACTACTTGTGTTAACATCCAACTCTTGCCCATCGTATCTCCGCTCCGCTCGTATTGATTTTTCGAATACCAAGTTCATTCGCACGGATCTTCGAATTTTCGCGTACACGCGAGAATTTACGTCGAATTTCAAATATATTGGAAAAGGATAATCAGAGAGGAATTTTTTCTCGTTCCCCCAGGACAAACATCGGAAACAGGCCATGGCTGAATATGCGAACGGCGAAAAACCGCAGAAAGTTTCGTCAGGAACGTCGACCAGCGGCAGCGGAAAAGTTAGGGGCGTGCCTCAAAGTTTCGGTTACGTGAAGAGGCACAGCGCCGGCACCAGCCCGAGCCCAAATGGAGTTCAAAATGGTGGCAAGGATTCGACGAGAACCGCCCAAGTTAGCGCTGTTCCAAGGACCAAGGTACGTACGCGTCACCGTCCCAATTACAAATCGTTTCTTTTCGCTTTTAATTTAATCGAAACGCACGTTGAATCCCTCTTTTCATCTCTCCCGTAGGTTAAAGTATCGGGCGGCACGCAAACGTGTACCACCGAGCTTCAAGCCAACTCCTCGGCGCCTAACCAGGGCCACCATTATAAGAGCTACAGCCTGACCGGGCCGAGCGCGAGCCAACTATCTCAATCGGTGCGTGATCGGCTTATGCTCGGCTCGCAGAGCCTGCCCAAACCTGGAAGCCCAGAATTCACCGCGTTATTCGCGTCTGCGCATCATCGCGAGCGGGGGTCGGGCGCGGGGCCTACCGCCACCTCCTTCTCGCCACGGGTTCTCAAACCGTCTGATGGAAGTCTAAGCGACACGTGCAGCAATTACGCAGCCCCTGATCTCCAAGGATATTACACTCCTAACAGCCCGTACACAACGTCCTGGATGAGACATAGCAACACGTACACGCCCAGCGGGCGTTCTCAAGGTGAATTTTTTGTTAAAACTTTTTAAAAAGTGTTCGTTGAAATGTGAAGCGAAATCGAGTAATTTAATTTATGTTGTGTTACCATTTTCTTTCGATATAGGGATGGGATTATGCGAAGCGGACAGCGTAGAGTCTTTGGGCTCGCATCGGGCAAGTTTGACCCACGCTCGTTTGTTGATACATCAAAGAGACTCGACGGGATCCCCAGCCCCGCCACGGCTCAACAGAAGCAATTCCATTAGGTAATAACGTAATCGAATGTGATTGATATACTCGTCTCATCACTTTTCACACAGATCTTTTTTAATAATAATAATAATAATAATAATAATAATAATAATAATAATAATAATGTCAAATTTTTAGAAATCATTTGCATATATTATCCATATGTATTAGATGCATGATTTTAGAGGATGCAAAATTTTTCACCGCATCTCTTGAAAACGATCAGTTTTTCAGCTTTTTTTTCCCCCCTCTTCCCATTCTTTTTTTTTCTTTCTCTTTTTAATAATATTAACCACAACCATGACAGGTGTCGCCCGTTTACGGTGAAATAACGCAGATCATTTGATACCGTTTTAGCCATCTGCGGGACAGGACATTCCCAAGGTAGTGCGAAAATCTAGAATACACGAATTCGTCGAGCCTGTTTTCCATGCATAAGTATTGAAAGAACGAAACCTTCTGGGGATTATTACAACCCCACACGTACACACGAGTGACGATTTATATTATGCGCACTGACAACAAACAAACAAATACACATACACACACACATCATACGTACATACAGAGAGACACACACGTACGTGTCCATGTACATTTACGTTTACACGAGTTCTTTATATATTTGTACCGTTAAATTCGATAGATTTACGATTATAATTTATTTGGTTAAATCAATTTCGTTTTATTTATATGTGTAATTAAGTGTTTTGTGACCGTTTTACGCTTTTTGCTCAAATGCATGTTAAAGCTTATTTAATTAAATCTTGCGCTCGTAACGTAACAACGAAAGGAAACGATTCGATTCTTTTTTTGCTCTTCTCGTAAAAGCGATGAGTAGTCTTTTCGATTCGTTTTCCTTCCGTCGTATCGTTCCACGATCGAACGAATGTATACGCGATCGAAAGGAGAATGCGAAACGAAAAGAAAGAATCTTTCGATCGGGAGCATGCTAGTCTTATAAATTAACTACGTTATACGTTCGGTCGGTCACGTTATACGCGTTCGCAATCAAACGTTCAAAGTAAACTGACGACAAACTCGGATGTGAAGAACTCTCGAATCGATCGAAATATTTCGAGTTCGATTAAACTCGACTTGTGGTTATGATGAAATGCGACGATTTCTTCGCATCTAAAAGAATTCCCTTTCGCGAGGACACGCGTACATTCGTGCACGCAATTGTATTCGGGAATATTTATCTTTTTCCATCCATACCGACCGAGTCGATTTCTGAATACAATTCGAGCGTAATAACACGAGTGTATATATATATATATATATATGTTATTCTATCATTTATATTCGGACGTAATGTACGCGTGACAAACGATGTTTTTTTTTCCTTTTTTTATTTTTTTCATATATATATAAAACGAGAACAAGATAACGTACAACAAGATTTACGAAAAGAACATTTTGTATTTTTTAAACATTCGGATATCGGACCACCTTGACGCGCGCTTTTTAACTCTTCGAAGATACAAACAGTTCGTCGTTCGGATATCGAAATGATATCGTTTGATCGAATATATCAATCAATTTGCCCGAATCGAATTGAATCGAATCGAATTTATAGAACTTTTTGCCCATCTTCGGAGACATTTATCACGTATAGTATCACATAAGTAAGTTAGTCAGCGTTCTAACAGCGATTCAGATGGTTAAACCTCTGTTTTCGCAGATCCACGAAAAGTGAAAAAATGTATCCGTCAATGTTAGTTAGAGGAAGTGGTGCCTCATCCTCCGTTGGCGAGGAGGTCGGAGTCGGGATAGGGATGAGCGTAGGCGTTGAACCGTATTACAGTGTTCCCGTAGGATCTACCGGGTGTACCGGTCAACACTGGTCTCAACCGACCTCTCCAACGCCCACGCACACTTCTCGCCAACCGCCCAATCTTTACCAACACGTGCACAAGGATGATGATAGTAAGTTTCCGTTTTAAATAGATAATCTTTTTTTTTTCTTTCTTCTTAAACATTCGTTCGTTCGTTCATTCGTTCATTCGTTCATACGGGAAAAAAAATAAAAAGATGAAATTCTTTCGAACGCTTTTCGTCAAGAAATCTCTCTAAAAAAGTTTTATTACAATATTTTGTAATTTCACCGTTTCCTCTCTCTCTCTCTCTCTCTCTCTCTCTCTCTCTCTCTCTCTCTCTCTCTCTCTCGTGAAAAATGAACGGAAAAAGAAGAACTTTCTCTTCTTTTGCCTTCAGTCCATGGTTCTTCTGTATCTTTGGTATCGACAGCAAGCAGTCTATACAGTTCAGCCGAGGAGAAACAGGCACACGAGCTGAGAAAATTACGACGGGAACTCGTAGACGCCCAAGAGAAGGTCCACTCGTTGACAAGCCAGTTATCGACCAACGTGAGTACATTATTGTGTGGATAGATTATCTTAGAGATAAAATGAACTTGGTTGCTTAATGCGTTTTAAATCATACGTGTATATATATATATATATATATTTATCGTAATTTGCGTATCCTTTTATTTATGACGTCATCGCGATACACACAATCACCGCACAACACACATTCTCCATTCCGAGGCGAGATTAGTCGACTTATTCTCATTGTGGTAAGCGAATTGGTGCAAATGATTAAATCATAATTAATCGAACGAGACAACGGTCGGGGAGAACTTGCCAGTTGCGGTTTCCTTTAACGAGCCTAAGATCCGACCAAACCTGTTGCGAACAATATTTTCTCCGTAGAACGCGTATATATCGTTCTCATAATCGATCTGCTATATATTGATAAAGTTTATTACCGTTTTATCTCTCCCAGACGTATTTACGCTTTGTGCAATGCGGAAAAATGATGGATAAATTATATACATGGACAAATTAAAGAGTTTCAAAAGAAAGATTTCAAATTTATAGGTTATATGTATATATATTTATAAATAGTCAAACAAACATAATTGATCGAACGTGTTACGAAACATTTTAATTTTTAGTATAACAAAAATAAAAGTAAAAATTTTTTTACACCGATTCCCCAACTGTTTCGAATTTACGTAATTTTCAAATGCAAATAAATGTAGACGTACTTATAATTTAAAGTGGAAGTTTTATAATGGAGTTAAAAATTGGGTTAATAGAAGCATCAATTGCCAGTTGATTAATTCTAATGGTTTCAAACGGTTTACGAAATAGACGAAAGGTTAGAAAGTAATTTCGAATTACCCGCGTTATTCTCCAGAAGAACGAAAGCGTCCTTACAGCTGAATGGCTGTTTAGCAGAGAAGATGAGTGGCCTCGACCAATCGGACGCAAAGCGGCCACTTACGGGCATCTTGGATCACCGTGGCGTGGATCGGTAGTCAGTTTACATTCAGTTTGTGCCGAGACGCGCTACATCGAACGTCGTATGTTGCTTCGTACACGTTGCGCTTGCGGACAAAAGCTCGAGTGTTTTTTTCTTCGTTGAAAGTGGACGATCGAAGGCCGTGGTTCGATGTTGTGCGACAAAGTGGAAGCGTATTGTTTACCCCGAAAAATTGGTTCGTGTTCTGTCAGTGATGAATCGGCGTCCCGATCGACGGTTGGATCGATGTGCGTGAAACGTAATCTTCCAACGCGGCAAAGTGGTTGAAAGAGAAGTAATTGAAACGAAGTCGTTTGTCTGGTTTCATTTTTCGTTTTGTGCCAATCGCTTGTTGGCAAAATAAATATTTTATTTCGCTCTAAACTTTACTTCACGCGTACTATACTATATACGCTCGTGACACTTCCTTTCGTTTGTTTACCGTTTTAATCTTTATCTTCTCTGCATCGAAAAAAGAGCGAGATAAAAGAGGAGCTCGTATTACATAATAATGTTTTTCAAAAAATTATGTACAAGCTATACGAATAACTTGTAATTTGTAGCTTGCTGTTTCCCTGAATACACATCTCGAGTGATCAATCCAATGTAATATATTATATATACGACGAGGATAGCCGGTAAAAACTCGTTAGGATAATTTAAAGTATGAATGCATCTCATAAACTCTCGAGACGAAGTACTAGTATCAGAATGTATATAACGTGAGATATAATAATATGTTTAGATACAAATTACAAATTGCCCGATTTATTTCAACGCGATCTTGGCTATTATCATCTTTAACGAGCTATAATTGCGATATCGAAGTACATCGCGAATCGATCAATTTCCCACAACTAAACCACACTTGTTTGCACGCAAATCTCTATTTTCCTTCGTTAGATTTATCAACTTACGGTTTTTGATTTCTCTATTTTATACTATATTATAGTTATAAGAACATCGATAAATTTAGATAAGAATTTTTTTTATTCTTTAACGCTGTTAAAGGAATTAATAAAAAAAATTCGATAAACTAAATTAGTTCCTGTACCTTTTCAAGGTTTTATTAAGAAGATAAATTAACGTTGCGTAATTCAGAAACACGCGTTACATTAGAGATATTGCTAGTTTTTCCTCCGCTCAAATCTTTTCGTAGCTATCTTATCTCGCTCTTAAATCCATCGCCTCTATACATCCACTTTTCTCTCTCCTGTATAGTATAGTGTATTTTGACTTTTCGATCGATTAAGCGGAGTGGAAACTTAAACAAACATCTCTGTGAAATAACAAAAATATAATATACGAAACGACGAGGCGATGACGGAATATATCAGAATATCTGAATTTACACCGAAAAGGGAGAAACAAATCGATTTTTGTTTCATTACCGAAAGTTCATTTGCCCTCGGACTCGTGTCTATATAAAACGTATTAGGCACAATAATCACGCACGCTTAGAGGACGATAGAGACAAATGATTTACACTAACCTCTTTCCGCGCTCGACACGCCACAAAATCCTATCGAAGTCACGTTCGGAATACATAAAAAGAAAAAAAAAGAAAGAAAGAAAGAAATAAAGAAAGAAAAGAAAAGAAGAGGTGCGCTATCAGTGGATACGATTGAAGAACAGGTAGCAACCGTAATAGGGAAGCTCGCGTGGATAAATATAAAATTTTCGATGCAAAAATCGAGCGGAGCGGAGAGAGTGCGCATATATGGTAGGAAAGAAGCGCGTCGGGGATCGTTCCTAGGAAACGAGGCATCTCCGACTCGAGTCGCGATCATTTTTGCGCTACTATATGCGACCAGTACATTCCCGTCGCGTATACACCTTGGTCCACTATCATCCGTCCACTACCTTCTTCCCTCCTCTTTGTCTTTTTCTCGCGTTTCCGTTTGTGCGAGCATCGAGCGGTTCGTCACTCGTGCGACCGGTCGTCCAACGCGTCCAACACGGGAAACACACGGGAACTCCGCTATCTTCCCTTCCACCATCTCCATTTATAGTTATTCACGCCTTCTACGGCCCTTGTTATGTCGATCGCTCGGCGGATCCCCGCGATATGCTTTATTCGGCGACGTGTACACGTCGGTTGACAACCTACCGGCCAACTATCGAACTTGATCGCTCTAATTACACTCTCCACGATTATTCGTTTGGATAGGTAGTTAAACTACGCTTTCGGCCGCGCACAATCTTCAACTCGAGCGAGTTGAGTAAACTTAGGTTAGGAATTCTACTTTACCGCTAATATTTCGAATTGAAACTCGAGATATGTGTCAGTGTTTAGGAATCGGATAGCTCATCGAGAACGGTAATTGGAAGCAATTCTAGAAATCTAAATACACTTGTAGCTTGGAATCTTAGGTCGAACGGTTTAGTGGGTGAACGATAACGGAAGTCGAAATGATAATTTTTTGAATCTTATATATATATATTTTAATGTTTGGTTATATGCGTTATCGAATGATAGTGTTTCGTTCTATAAAACATTTCGCACAGGACCCAATTTCCAAAGGATTTATGGAATATTTTTACAATTTTTTGAATTTTTTGTCGCGTTATTAGATCGCAAACGATATTCCTTCATTTTACTTCGAAATTAGACTCGGTCAAATGATATATATATATATACACGCGCACGATTTCGAAAGACTTTCACTCGTTTTGTTTATATGCATAACATTCTCCGTAATTTTGAATGAATCATTTCGAAGCAACGAGAAAGTTTCTTTTTCTTTTCTTCTCTTTTCTTCCTAGTATCCTCGTATATAGTTCTATTATCTGTTTAATGTGAAATTTTTCATCTCGCGCGATGGATAAAAATTGTAGATTAAAAAAAATATATATAAAGAAATATTGTTTATTATCTTCATAGACACGTGGGAAAATAATTAATTATATCGTTCACACGTTCAATGTTTCATCATTGACAGTTGTTTGCTCGTAATCAAAATTCCATTAGATGCTTTTAGCCGGAAGCCAGGCAACAGGTATTGGTAGTAAAACTTTCTAACCTCTCGATTCTAACCTCGTCGGAAATGCGTCATACGCACGATCGACGATATTATATTCTTACGCAACTTATGTAAAAAAAATTTGGACGGATCATCTATTTAAAAATTATTTCGGTCGTTTTATATTTCCTTTTATGGACAGCAAGAAATACGCATAATTTTTCGAAAAAACTAAGGGATAAGATAGATTTTTATCGTCGCAACTGTCGTTGCGATAATTTAAAACGCAGATGGTAGAACTTAAACGAGTCATCGAACCGTAAAAATTTGTAGAAACGAATTTATGTGATTGTAAATTACGTTGACGCAAAAGTTTAAAGTTGACTAATGTCGAGTAAATAAGAATGTAATCGGTAGCAAGCTGACAGGATTAAACAGTGGACGCGATAAATTCGTCGATAAGATAGTTTTTCAGTTTATCAAGAAAGCTTTGGTAATAAAGTTTTTTGGTTGCTATCGTAAAATTACTTCACGCGAACTATTGTTCACGAAATGGTTCGACCGTTGGAAAAGGAACATTGTAACGAAAGGTTGTGTCGGGGTTGTGCATGATTCGTTTTCATTCTTTCCACACGTATATCTACGACTGAAGATTTACGGCCTCTCGGTTGACCCTAGATTTTTACAATCTTGGGCTTGTATCGTACCACTCTCGCAAGAAAAGTATACTTATACTATTCTTCGAACAGCATTACTGGCTTCGTCTTAACATTTTTCATCCGATCGCTCGTAAATCGAGCACCGTTTTTCGACGTCGCAGCAACACATTTTTAAAATATCGATCCCAAACAATGACAACGATGTTCGAAATATCCGTATTAGATTTTTTTCTTTTCTTTTTCTTTTTTTTTTTTTTTTTTTCGAATTTTTTCCTGTTTTTACTTTTCACAGAAATTCCATCGTCAAGAGGAATGCGTTACACGTTTGTTACACGCGAGGTAGAGAAACGCAAGGATTGCATCAAGGGCAGGCTAGAATCAAAAGAGATTTTTGTTTTCCACTCGTATAAAGCTCACATTTTCCCGCGTTGATGC